ACCAGCGGGTTTTCCTACGGGACGCTGCGGAGGCTTTCGCTTCAGTTCCGACCACTCAGCATGGGGCGCCAAGGTCTCAAGTTCCCACGGAACTACGCTCGGCTGGGCACGTTTTCGTCCGTCACAACGCACACAGAGGCCCCCTGCAGCCCCCTGCAGCCCCCTTACGATGGACCTTTCCGGTTCTTGGAGCACGGTGGCAAGCACCTGGTGCTCGACATGGGCGGCAAGGCTGAGCACGTCTCGGTTGGCCGGGTGAAGGCTGCTCACTTGGACGTGGACCAGCCGGTGGTGCTGGCTCGACCGCCGAGACCGGAAAAACTGTTTTCACCCACGCTAACTTTACATGGAAGCTGCGTACACGTTATCCTGGCGAGACCTCAAATCATCTTCGTAATATCTATGAAACTATAGATCCTACACATCGACTGGACGTGGATTCTAAGAGTACAATATACACTTCTTGCCAGAAATCGAATCAAAAAGCATTTTAATGGCCAAACTATTCCACAATTAAGGATTTTCCAGAGAGGGTTATTTGTGAATAAACGTCCCTCCGGAGCGTTTGCAATGAACGGGCCGGGAGCATGTTGTTTCTTACACGACCACTAGAGCAGGTCGTGTAAGAAACAACATACACTTTAAAACGTGTCTCTGGGTCGTAATAAGGGCATGAACAATCGGCCTATATGGTCGTTTTTTGTAGGAGGGCAGGCTGCTTTCTACACATGCAGCCTCCAGCTTGATTACGTTAAAACAAGAAATCCGACTCTATTTGTGTATCTGACCAACCAGTTGTTTTTTGTTCAACCTTATCTCACTCTAACAGAAACACATGATCACCTACTGTACTGCATGTGTCCTATTTTAAATTTTAGTTTTACTTTCAGATGTACCTTTAACCCTTTTTTTTATTATTGAGGAATTACCCTTTTAACAGCATTGTTTCAACATGTGGGATGTAAACATGTTCGTTAAGTACTTGTACTTTATGTAGCATTCCTATGATGCTATACTTTTTACTACACTATTATTTAGATGGAAATATTGTATTTTGTAACTCAATATCTTTACTTAAATCATGTGATATTATTAGGAAAAACCAGCAGATTATAAAGTGGTTGAAATGAGAAATTCTGCCTTATGAGTACTTTTATGTGTGGTACTTCAAGCACATGTTGATGCTAATACTTTAATTTAAAAAGCATTTTGAACTAGGACCTCTACTTGTTCGTACATTGTATGATAGTGCTTCTTATAGTAAGTATAATATCTTAATACTTTTTCCTTCAATTCTTTTTTCATCTTGTACAGATAAAAAAATAAAAGAGATTAATTAAATTCACTTGAAACGTAAACAATTTTAAAATGGAGAGAAATACCTTATTAAACTCTATGACTAAAGATGCTTTATTTTTTACCATTTTAGGCTGAATGACTCTACGTCCCTTGAGAGCCCTTGAGAACAATACTGCTATCAGATCCTTGTGTCCACTCACACACACAACCACACACACAAACACACACACACACACACACACACACACACACACACACACACACACACACACACACACACACACACACACACACACACACACACACACACACACACATACACCCCGCCTACTCTCCGGTCTCACCACTTCCTCACAGCTCTCACATGTGCAGCTCTTTCACTCTCATCAGATATTCAATGTCTGAGATCACATGAAGAACACACTTGCTCACTTTTACTAAGGAAACACCCATACATTGGATTATAAATAGATCCCTCTACATTTTCTTTGCTGTTTTTGTTTAAGAAGACATTTTATTTTTAAAACAACTCTTTTTGGAAGTAATTTGAATCACATTACTGCTGCATGTGGAGACCAGCACCTCGAGAGCAATGTCATCTGTACTTTCTCACAACAAAGACCAGCCACGCGTTAGAAAGACGCTCTCAGACTCTTCTACTTCATCCACTGCCTCTACCAAGAGCCAGAAGGTAAGGCAGGATTGTCTCTAATCTTTTCACTGTCTGTGTGGTAAGAGGAAATGCCACGGCTGACATGATGCAAACACTAACATCAGAGTTCAGTGATTGTCAAACAAATGTGACTGTAACAAGCCACAAAAGTATTCCTGTGTGTTTGTTTACTCTGCCATAGAATCGTAGTAGTATAAAAGATCCATGGACAATTATGATAAGCCATAAATGACTTCTTAATGCCTCATTTGAAATGAACTCGAGACCTTTTTTGGACACTGTTTACACATGACAGCTGCTGGAATGCACAAACGTTTTTCTTTTTTCCCCCCGAATGTCCTCTAAACCACTTTATACTGTATATGGCACTAGCATTATTATGTTGCATCAAGACAAAGTATGTCAAAACCAAAGTTTCTCTTTGAGATTGTGCAATTCAAGTGTTTCTGTAAAGCTATGATATCAATGTTTTCATATAACTTGGTACTTTATTTGACAGTCAATCATATATAAAGGAACAAATGGTGTTTCCATTTGCCCATGGTATCAGTGTACAATGTTGACCTTAGAAACGTTAATAGTTTGATTAAAAAGTTTTCTTCCTTTTTCTTTGTCATGTGCCTTTACATTTTAGTTAAATGGGACACATTTTGGATCCCACGGCACTAAAGATAACAACGTATTTAATCTCGAATAACACTGACATGCTTCTGATGGTTTGTAATAACTCAAACTGTGAAACTTAATCACATGTTGATGTGTATGAGCATGGAGAAACAAAACGTGTAAGTGAAACAAAGAAAGAGTTGTAATGAGCAGTTAGTGTTAACCGTTTATGTGAACTTAGAATCCACTTGGGACAGATCCATGGAGAGAAACAGAGAGAGGGATACAGGAAGAGAGAGAGAGAGAGAGAGAGAGAGAGAGAGAGAGAGAGAGAGAGAGAGAGAGAGAGAGAGAGAAAGAAAGCATGGGGTGAAAGACAGGATGACAGGGAACAGAGAGGAGGAGGGTCTGAGTGCTTAGGACTGGCTTGTGGGAACTCAGACACAGTATTTATGGATGTTTATCTCTCTGCTAGTCCTGCGGGAGGCTCACTTTTTCCACTTGGGAATAGCTGGTCAGCAGACAAAAAGTTCCTCGCGCAATCTAGAAAGGCTGGAGGACAGCTTAGTGACAGAGTCGCTCACATAGATGGGACACATACGCCTTCCTTTCCATCAGCATCTGTTTATATGTGCTGTCGCCTAATCCAAACCAGAGCTCTTTCCAAGTCTGCACACTGTATATCATTAATGACCGTTTACCGAGCACAGCCAAGTGTCCAGAGAGCCTTAAAGGAGCTGACATCAGAGTCTGGGGGAGATCCAGAGCTCTTGTAAATGTCTGAGCAGAGGCGTATCACTGTGTTTACACAAAGTATCTGAAACCTAAAGCACTGTTTCTATTTAATAGTAATCCACTTGCTGTCTCAATTATTTAGTTTGACGTGTAACTGTTTAAGCAGTTAACCATACTATACATGTATTACTCCAAAAAGGGATTAGCAATAGCTATAAACTCTCAGTGCAGCACTATGTTAAATAGCAAGATCCCTAACAAAAAATAAATGTATTCGTCACCAGTCTGCTTTTCCTTTTTTACAATAAGCTACTCAAACAAGAGAGTTCAGTGCAAAAGTAGACCTCATTTACTGTGTCAGTAGTTATGTGAGCAGAAATAAGTTATTCATTGCATTATTTATCTGATACATGCTGATTTAATTACTACAGGCAAGATAACTACCTCCTCTAAGTTAATACATATTGATAGTTATAACTACTAAATGTATTAATTAAAGACTGAAGAGCAAGTCATATTTCCCTTTTCTATAATGAATTTGTTGTAAAAACATTCAAATATTCAAAGTATATGGCAATGTGTAATACATTCTGAATCGCCTTGTTTTTGACTGAATACATTTGTAGACGTTTTGTTTGAGAGTGATACAGCACCAAGATTTATTTGTAACTGTTTGCGTGTGCTAATATGTTACTTTGTACAAAAGTGCAGAACATAATAATCCAAGTGAATAATATATAAAAAGGTTTTTGTAAAATAACCATGCCTTGCCTATATGTGCTGTAGAGGTGAGTGAGAATGTCGGAGTACTGAAGAAGACTGTAGAAACATAATAAATGCAGATGTGTCCATTTATGGCGCCAGGGGTCACTGATAGTTTGTTGAGTGTGAAACGTATGTAATATTATACTATGACTTTCACCAGATGTCATAACACCTGCAGTATGGGAGATTTTTGATCAATGTGTTGGATATATCATCGCACTCACTTGTAAAATATTACACTTACTGGTGATTTAAACCTAAGTCAATGAAATTCATCAGGCTACCTTTTGTCTATTAAGGGGGTTTTTGTTTTTATATTTTAGCTTTTGATCTGCTCTTCTGGTGGAAAATATCCCACCAAGGAAACCTTATAACCCTTCAAACTTCAGCAGGCAGTAATGACCACATAGTGAGAGCCACTGCCAGAACTATTACCTTTTTTGGATGTGTTTAGTTATCTCTGCTTGTCAGTTTATTTAAGAGATCTCTTCCTCTCCCCTTCTTTTAACTTGGCTTGACATTTCTGACTGCCATAAACAGTAAACTTGGAAAACATAAAAAGAAAAACTTTTATGAGGAATTCCTGGTAATGTCCCTTCGAAGAATCACTGAGCTTTGCTTTCTAGATCTAGTGATAAGGAATACATTTGCTGACATTTACAGGACATCTTATAAAATATTTCCTCTGTGCATTTAAACTGCATTTGTACACTATTATTCATAATAACTGGTCAACATGGTTAAAAAAAATAGTGCAATATACCAAATGGTTTGTGGAATTGTTTTCCTGCATAGCATGCACATCATTAATCTGGCTAACAGCCTGTCAAACAAATGATGAAATCAAGCTGTGTGATGTCATTATTTGTGCAGTAAAGAGCATCTACTGACGAAGGACGGTTCATAGTGACAATTAATGACTTGTTTGTTTCAATGTAAGGTTAAAGGTTGGCTAAGAACAGCTGGAAATATTGGCGAGTTGTTGCATTTTTCATTCAGCAAGTTCTAAAACCTTTTTCCTCTATTTCAGCACGAGAAACTGTCTAGGTAAGAACATCCACTTCACACTATTAATACGTACAAAAGACATTTAGTTATCACCTAACTCAATCAGTGCATCAGTGAGATTAAACTCAGACAGTAACAGAGGTTAACCCCAGAGTTGAAAGGTAATACCTCTCTTTTGCTTCCAGATTAAGCTCGTCGGGTTCCTCCGATGTCTCCAACGACTCGTCAACAAACCACGCCGAGTCCTACTTCTTAAGACGGGAGAACAGACTGTCTGCAAGGAAAAAGGCAGAAGAAGAGTCAGCAAACAATGACTATAAAAAGGCAAGTGATGCAGACAGAAATAAGGTTTTGAAATTAAAAGTGATCACAATGAATTAACTCACCTAAAGGGTGGGTTAAATATCCAAGCAAGGGCTTTGATCACGGTGAATGAAAGGAAATCCTGTCCATACTGTACACCACAAGATGACTGAGCTTTTGTCAAGTATCTAATGAAAACAAAACAAAAAATTATACTAGAATGACAAATAAAAAATCCTAGAAAAATGCTGCACTGCCAACAATTAATCAAATGGATATAAAAGTACACACACAAATGATACATTAAAAGTAAAGCAACCTAGTTCATGATTCTTTATATCAACAGAAATTGAGTCTTTTTTTATTATTATTTTAAATTCAGTTTCTTGACATTTTCCTATTGTTGGTTGGCCAACAGTTCCATTTGAATGCATCATCCTGAAATATAGATACATTTTGTAGGCATTTTTGTTTTGTAGAATAAAGGATTGATTAATCAATACAAAAGGTCTATAGAAATATGTTCAATCAATAGAAATCATTATGCCGATCTAGTAGATATCGATATTTCCCTTGATCAGTGTAAACTTTGACCTGTTTGTTGTGATAGATGGTATGTAAGGGAAAGTCTTTAGGATTTATGGTCTGGGAATTATAATGATCAGTAGCATACTAAAACACCCACACACCTTCACTGTTGCTGTTATAGTCAATGTTTGTTATGTTTTTTTGCTGCGAAACAAACAATCTTTTAGAAATGCTAACAAGTGAATATTTTGTAGATGTATGAAAAGGCACTGGCCACCAACCACAGGCTGAAGTCCAGGCTGGAAACAAGTAAACAGGAACTGGCAATGATTCAAGACCAGCTGCTGAGAACACAGGTAAAGCACATCATTATTACTCATTTAAATGTAGGAGTATGAAACAAATGGGTTCAGCAGAGCAAAAAAAGCAATAATTTCAATAATTCAGATTTAAATTTTTTAGTACATATCCAAATATCTCCCATATATTCTCATGACAATAAGGTAAAAGTGTGAGAGAGATATGTCAAAAATGATATACGTACAGTAAGCCACAATGAAATAACTGTTATCCGCTTTCGAGATTCTGTGTGCAACTGTGGATATATTTGACACTTTACATTCAACACTTGCTCAGTGTTATGAAAATAGAGAAGCCAATAACGCTGCAGTTGAAGGATTTGTAAAAAAAAAAAATGTAAATGACTTTCATTGTTGCAGAAGGGAAGAGCGGAAGATTGTAGTTCCAACATGCTTGAGACAGAAAAAAAGGTAAAAGAAAATCCAGATAATACTAAAATATATATTCTTTAAAAGTTTCTATAATTATTTATTTATCTGAATGTTTTGCCCATAGGAAAGTTGGAGTATAAAAAAGAGGATAACGGATTTGGAAGAGCAGTTGAAGGTAATTCTATGAATAAGTTGTCTTGTAATTCACCCTAACATTCACCATACAGTCGCCTTTAAAAAATGTATTATTAACAATATAGCACGATATCTTACCCAGGAGGGAGTTAAGCTTATTTGGCATGAGGAAAACAATGCACAATCAAATGCACACAGTTTAAAGTGTCTGTGTGTCCAAACACTGGTCTCAGCTGACATCATTTGTCACCATTATGCTCTGCTGGCTGTGGAATGTGTGAGCACTTTGACAGCGAGCTGGCCCTCAGCGTTCATGTACAGTCTAACATTCACAAATGTCTGCTGTGTTATGCCCAATAGGACACAAACAAAAACCTCTTGTTTGGGACTAAACAAACATGAGATTCTGGTTTGAAAGTAATCAAAACAGAGAAGCATTGTTATAGTCTTTATTTAAATGAGCAAGTGCAGTACAGTAGTGTGTGTGTTGCTGGATGCAAGTGTAACATCTCGTGTTTTTGTAAATGTGCTATGTATTTGTTTCAGTGTATCATTTCTCCTGAACAACCAAGTTGTCTATGTGAAGCTACATTTAGTTCAGGATCAGTTAGCAATACAATAGTCTTTTACTAGTGCACCTGTGTTTAAGTCCACTATGTAACCAACCCTAACCCTAAACTAAACTTTATTAAATGTAACTAGTCTGGAAACCATGGGCAACATTACTCAATTCATTATATTAGTTCAACAAAATAAGATACTGTCTTTACTTGGCAAAGGTTTGGGTTCAGAGTTAAAGATAGACACAGGGGAGCAGGGAGAGGGAGAGGAAAACTAGACCATATGATAATTGCTAGAACACTTGACACAAGATAATAACTGGCACTGAGAGAGAGGGAAAAGACTCAATACACCCAGAAAATAATGAGGTGATTAGGACGGGAAACACACAAATGCAGGAAGTGGAGTTGTCCGAAATGATATGGTGAGTATCAATTAAAACAGGAAAACATTAATGACTAATTGACATAATCTGAATTCGATGTAATGGAGTCTGAACATTTTGCATGAATCAACTCCAAAACCTTGGGCATGGCATAGGAAAATACTACCAAAATATCAAGACACAATCCAAAAATAGATTGACATTTTTGGTATGGCAAACAAATATCTATATTAAGTGACCTAAATCTCTTTGTTTAGAGTTTTTATTTTGTATTCTTATCATGTCATGACTTTGCCTACCAGTTGTCTCCTTCCCTTCCTTCAGGTAAAAGCAGAGCTGAATATGGAGAACCAGAGACTGAAGGACGAGAATGGAGCTTTAATCCGGGTCATCACTAAACTGTCCAAGTGAGACAGAAGTAGTAGAAGAAGAGGGGCGGATAACAGAAGCCATATTTATACCTGCATTCTTCTTACATTCAGCCCGTCCTCAGACAGAATGTATGTACATATTAAAGTTTAGTCTTTTGTCTGTTGAGTTACAATCAGACACATGTATGATCAGCTGTGAAGCCTCATGTTACTGTACTGTATCTTAAGTAGTAGCACATTCCCAGATAGAAAATACATTAACTTAAAATGCATTTTATATATTCATAAGATATTTCTACATAAAGGCAAATGTCCACAAGATTGTCAACTTCTTATATTTTTTCTTCACTGTGTTGGAATCAGTAAAGCATTTCTGACTGTGTGTTAATAACCTACATATATGGACAAAATATTGCAGGTATTTTCATGGAGGTATTACCATGGAAACTGCCATTTCTTTTTGTCTATTCCATATGTGGACATTGAAAACATGCTCTGAGCTCTCAGGGACAGCTGGTGATGGATGGGATACATTTTTCAGGAACGTGGGAGCGTCACCTCTGGTTTAAAAGATGTTTAACCTTACCTTGAAGTATGATGTCACTTCTCTTAGCCTGAAATTAAAAAATACAAAACAATACAAAACCGGATGGGGTTGAATAAATAAAAAAGCTTTTCTGTTTCCTTAGAATGAAATCATTAAATCATGTAAAATATGAATAGAGCAATGGAAATCACAAAATAATCTCACCTGAAGGTCAATATAGTCGTTGTTATGTTGCTTTTAGTCTCATTAGAATACATAAAGAGCTTTTTCTTTATCAGCAGATGGTGGGATGGCGAAAGTGGGATTGTTTTGTCAGCTGTTGTACAAGATATAAAAATAACTTTGAGCCCCAACGTTAAATGAGAAATGTTGATAAAGATCATGTTTCATGACCCAAAGCTGCACTGAAAAAAAAATACAATTCTCCTTTATATAGGATTCTCATTTAATTTCACAAACACAATTACCTGTTTCTGATTTATATAAGCCTTAGAAGCACAATGCTGGCCATAATGTATCTTCTAAATTACATTCAGAAGATTAATTAAGTCCCATTTATAATCTAACACTCACTGGATACCTGCCAGACCCCAAAGGCACTTTCAACTACTTGTTTGTATTATTTGATGCTATGAATCATTTGAAGAACACAATTCAAATTACTCTCACCAGTGTGTTTTCAAAGAACATGTTTAGACATTTTGAAAATGACATATATAAGTGTATAATAGTAAACTCTGATTTGCCATATAAAGTGGCTGGCTATAACTCACCCTTCTATTTTTCTCATACAGCACATGCATGATGCCACCCACTGACAAAAAGTGGAAGAGCACCCTCGTATTCCATTTACACACCACACAGGACGAGGCTACTGAAAATGCCTTTATTTCCTAAGGTTACATGTTGACAACACACAGATACGTCCTGACCACATCCCATATTTTGATTCCCTTGAGTAATTCAGTTCTACACAGAGTGATATATGAGTACATGTGTGGTTTTTGTTCCTTTTTTTGCTGGAAAACATGGATTTCGTACGGAAATAAATCATGCGGTTCACAAAAAGGCACAACTACTGACAGACCTCTACAACAAGACACAAAACAAGGGTCCAGAAAGAGGTCAAAGCATTTCCCTTGTCTATGTTGCTCGGAAAGTGATTGCCTGATGGACAAAGTTTGGGGGATGATCAGGTCTTTGGATGTTCTGTATCATGGCTATGTTCACATAAGAGGACTGAAGACTATTATTGAAGCAGTAGATTGGCAGTATTGCATTGCGAATGTTTTTCTGCTCTGTTTGGGTCTCATCTGCGCTCCAGAACGCTTGAGAGACCCAGGAAGACGGGGATTTTGTTGCCTGCATTGCAGAAAAGTGACAGACTCATATGATCCATCAATAAAACAGCAATAAACAAATACACGCTCTAATGGTTCTATTGCAAAAACACAAAACCTTTGAGACAGATTCTGGTGGCAGCTCATATACAGTATAGATAGAGGAGCGTGAGTATATGAAATGACCCCAGTAAGGAATGAACTGACACACGCAGTAGAAAAGAAAGCAATGTGGCGCTCTTTCACAATAAGATTTGAACCTAAATTTGACAACACTTTGAGGAATTGAATTTTCAGAATATATGTGGTCCGTATTTCTCTCCGCCTCTCAAACATAGAGATAGCTACATTTTGCTCTAAAAAATGGAGTGTCATCCAGATCACGATTGTTCATCTTTATGCACTGTAGATAAAGTTGTATTCATCAGCAAATAATAGTGACTTAAAGGAGCAATGGGTAACCAATTCCCCATATTGGAGACGTCATGATGGATACAGCATTGATATGTCGGTGCATGCACAAGTGTAACACCAGCTCATCCCATTGCAATCCATTAGTCAATGAATAGATTACTGATGGCTGAAAGTCATGACTGGAGCTCTTTTCAGAGGACTGCATCAATAATATGCAATAATAATATTCCACAGAAGTAATCCAGCAAAAAAAATTGTGATAAATATACTGTAAAAAGACATTAAACAAAGTTACGTTTATATGCAAATTACTGACTGATTTATTATGTTACAAAATATAATCAGACATGTGAGAGCAGGTTTATTTGAAATTCAATAAGATGAGAAGGTGTACAGTTTTATGAAGCACGGAGGGAAAAAGAAGCTTCAAGCCGTCCACTATATCTACATTTAATTTAGATTTAACACCCAACTGGCAGGAGTAAATGAAGGAAACACTTACGGTACACTGAGATAGAAAATCAAGGACCCGCTAAATATGTTCTCTTTTTTTGAAATATATACAGTTTACTGTTCAGCATCAAAACATACTGCATAACAGGTGCAAGCAGAAATGAACAATAATAACATGTAGCCCAGGCATTCTGTAACACTGGATTTAACACAGAGGACACATACAAACGATGACAGGAAACAAGACAGACATGCAGTTTTATGGCAACAAAGTGGATCTTTTTGTGTTTTTTACATATGATACACAAAGCAAACTCGTTTTAATCCCAGGCATTAAAGGAGTGTGACCCCCAACATGGATTCTTAAGACTTACATTCAGTCCCAATCAGCAAAAATACATACACTTTGCAGTCAGTGCATACTCTTTTTTACTCTGTTTTATTATCAAAAATGACACAGATCACAAACACACTTACACAATATAATTATGGTTTCTCTTTAAAACATGCTGCTATTTACATTATCTTGCGAGTACATGCTGTAGCATATTAACAAATCTGCGTGATGCATAATGATATCAATAGGAAGAAGTGGTACTGTGCAAGGACCAATCAGTGTGCGGCTGGGATCTGTCTGCAGAAATATAATCCTTCCTCCTATGGAGGCAAAGAAAGGCTGCACACATTTGAGTTTTTCAAACACAACTGAACACCTTATTCCTAACTAATATAACTTTTTCTGGATACTAAACCTTATATTTGAATAACACTGCAATTTAAGAATTATATTATACTTACAGTATAATATTACTTTGAAAATAATTTCTCTGAATTTTTATTTTCTTGCAGGTGAACTCCAGTTATATTCGGTTTTCTCCTTAATTTTCTGAAATTCAATTAGAAAAGTGTCCAGTTGCTGAATCTGATTTTACAGAATGTTAAAAATATAATCATGTTACAACTATTTATTACGGTTTTCTTTCATCAGGAAATGTGTTAAAATGCTATACTTTGCTTATTGTTTACTGTGTGTAAATCTACCAAGGATCAGCATCTCACGAATTAAAAATATTATGGTCGACGTGAGGATTTCTTTGATTTTCTTTTTATTAAATCATAATTTCATTCATGGGTTATCCTTGGTATTACATATTATCCATGTTTATTCTCTCATAATAAATGTTGGTTTCTGAATGAACCTGGATTTTTATATCCAAAAAAAGTCTTATCTTGCATCTAGTTTAAGGTAAATCCTTTTTTTATCTTTACCCAAAATTGGAAATTGTTCAGTCTTTAAGTTAAGTGGATTATTCAAACTCAAATGAACTCTCCAAGTAAAGTATTTCAATGCCTTCAATTCAGAGCTGTTAAATGTTCACAGTTTGTTGTTGCTTATAAGACAGAAATCTCCATTGGGTGTTTTTTGCGTCCATACCCCTCCACATCAGTCTAACAGTGTATTGGTGAAGAGGTCGCAGCACTTTGGCTCCAGGTTTACAAAGCTTGTGGCCGATGAGAGAGCGATCCAAACGACATGAAACACTGCGAGGCATGATACATGCTGGATTCTGCAGCTCTATTTGGTTCAAGCTAAATGGTCCAGAAGATGTTTATTGTATTATATGTTTAGATGTCGGCTAACACTTGCTCTGTTGAGATTTCAGGAACCTGCTTTTTTGCACTTGACCTCACATTGTCTTAAAAAGTGTGGCTATCTGACATTTCAAATTCTCTATAAAAACATCTTGTCTTTGACAGAAATCCTTGTGTTTTTCCCCATAAATGAGTGTACTGCAGTATGTTTGGTAAACTACAACATTGGACATATAATCAAAAAACTAAAATGAGTTAAATGGCACTGTTTTAAGAAAGCAAGAGCATCATGTAGAAGAAGCACAGTTATAAATACTTTGATCATCCTTGATACGCTTTTTCGTATCCTTACTTTGGCCACAGCTAAGTAAAGTTTACATCAAAGTGGTCTACACAGCTCAAGACAGATTGCAGATGGCACATTCACAGTGTCCCTGACTACTTTTTTTTTTAATGATTTTCCCTTCAAAATAAAACAATGAGTCTTAATGGATTTCTCAAAGTGTCACACCAGGAAAGGCACCCTTGTATTCCTGTCCAACATTACATATGTCTGACACAGACTGCTGAAGTCAAATGCATAGACGTGCCTACATGGCAACACAAAACAAGCAACTTAGATCAACTGTTCCATAATGTGTTTTTCTTCTGCTCACATGTAAGCTGATAAAATGAATAAAGACAATCATGTATGTAGATTTCTCTTCAAAATATATATTGCAACATGGATCGCTGACCTCATTCACCCTCAATACAATATTTTTGCATTTAATAGACTTATACTATGCAGGAAATAACCCAATACTACGGTTCTTTCTATTGCAAGTTATAGCACACTTATTAGCAAGATACAATACTGGGTGTGATGTATGCAGAGCAGTGGGGAGGTAAGTAAAGCATGCTCTATGAACTAAACTAAAGCTTTATTTCCAGCATTGTTTTCACCAAGAGTTTCGTTCCGTGTCAGCACCCTAAGAATCAGTTTCTGAGTTTCTTCAAACGAAAGAAAGACCAACCGTCGATCATTCATGAACCAGTCACCCGATAGCTCTCAACGGCACTCTTCACAACATACGCTAATGTGTGAAATGTGATGCTTAAAAATCGTTTTTTTTTTCTCGACTTAACCATGATTGAGCGAATATTCTAAGATGTCTCTTTTTTGCTGAGCAGGTTTCATGACGGGTAGTCACAACGTGTTAAAGTCATGGGTTTCATGCAAAGTAGGGGTGGGGGCTCTGAGTTTTAGTTGGTTGGTGGAGCACTTTACTTCTTTGCATTCAATTTTGCCAGCTGACCATCGATATCCTCCTCTGGCTGCAATGGATGCCACTGGGCGATGGGGCGGCGCGGGTTGGACAGCATGTCGGACCAGTGCTTCAGACCCAGGCCGGTCGCCTTGCTGCCCACGAAGATTTTTCCAATGGCGTCATTCTTACCGATCTTGTCATAATCAAACACTGTGACCGCCACCAAGATTTTCTAGAAAGAGAGGCAGAAGGACATTCATTTCCAGGTATAACGACATCAAAATGTGTGTTAACTGCTTTTAAAGTAGAGAAACATTTGTTTTACTTACTTTATGTACTTGCTGTACATATATGACTTTGATGTGTACTATACCTGCATTTGTTCCAGGGGGATCTCAAAGCTGAAGGACTCATTATAGTAAGGGTTTAGGGTGTTCTTCTTCACTGTAGTCTTCTTTTTCTTCAGACGCTTGCCGCCCTGCAGCAGCTGGATCTTCACATAAGGATCTGCAATGGGCATCAAGACGATCAGCAATGGAGCTCACTTAGACAAATTATTGTAAATTAGTTTGGTGCTGTTTGCAATTGCTTTTATCCCTTTTGATATACTCTATCATTTTTACTTACTTCCTCTATTGATTGTTCTCTATTTCCGCGATAAACTGTATGTGTAATTGGCCATTGGATTACAGTTGTGAACTGCATTTCCCAAGTGTACTTGCATGACAAAGAACAGTTCTGAAGCATTTCATACTTGCATTGAGACTAAGTGTGAAAATCAATTTGATATGTTTGGCCATCATGCAGAACTGTGATTTAGTGCAAGGATCTTCTAAAATGTTTTTACTGTTACATCACGTTACGAACAATTATTCAAATCTACAGTCGTACAGACAAACACAAAAAAGCTTGATTCCAAAACTGATTCCAACTGGACTAAACTTCATAAAACTATTGTGATCTAGATTCTCTTGACAGCTTTGTAATTTGTCTGTACCAGATAATCCACAGGCGTCCATCTTCTTCAGGTTCTTGGCCTCCAGGATGCAGACGGTGAGTTTCCCGGCGGTGGGGACGTAACGGAGGGAGATGCAGATGTCTCCCAGTTTCTCAGGCTGAGCAGCACAGAGAGGATAGACAGAAACAATACGCTCATCAGCCAACAGCAGCAAACTGCTTGTTTTGGAAAATGATGATGGGCTGAAGCAAAATGCTCTAAGTTGTTTTGTCCTTGTGGTGACAATGACAGATTTTGAAGTTAACAGCATCGAATGAGGTGAAAGATATGGTGATTCTGTTTTTCAAAGGGTTATTCTGGGAAATATCGCAGTCTAGGGAATATCATAAAACTCAAGTCCCTGACAATTTATTGTTCTATGTGTGGAATATGAATACCGCTCTTCTTTAAAATCTAGAAGTTTGATTGTTAAGCGCACCTCCTCTTGATCTGCACTCTCCAGATCCTTCCACTCCTCGATCGGCCGTCCGAGGTCGATGGACTTCATGGCGATCTTCACCTCCCCAATCACGTCATGTTTGGAAAATCGATCGTAGTCAAAAACAGACATACTCAAAGTCTTCCCCCCGAGCTCCTCGTAGGGCACCTGAGGGAAAGACACAACCATGTTATACCTTGAAACCTCACATGTTAGTCAATGCCAAATCTAAGGTAAAATGAATCTCTTCTGGAAAGTTGACTCTTATTGTTAACTAATTATGTTCAAGAGGAATTTTGGTAATTCTTCACATGTTCACATGAAATCCTCTGACTTATTTGACGTGCATCTGATAGACAGGTAAGCCAACTTATTATTCAGCTCCTATGGAATGTCATTAAATAAGTAAAAACGTTGGGAAATTGACAAGAACAAGTTTGAAGTTAAATACAAATAATCAAATAATTTATATTCTGTTAATAAGGAAAACTAGCAATCCAATAACATGGTTGGAAGATGTTATAGATAGTGGAAGATGCTACATAAAAATGAACCTTTATTAAATGTCCATCCTTTGGAGACACACTCTTATAAAAAACACTCACAAAGTAAGCAGTACAAAAACCTTAACGTTGAAAAACCTTAAAGCTGAAAAACGTAACATGGCAATGAGCATCTCTTGGGCTGTCTGGAAGAAAAAAATCAGTCATTCTGGAAAATAAATTAAAAAATGTTGCTGCTGCTGCTGCTAGTTTGTAGGCATCCAAAGCTTCCAGTGTTACCCGGAGCCAGTTATAAAGTCTCTTCAGGCTTTATTAGGATGGGAGAGAGCAGCATGTACAGAACGCAGGCTGCACAGACAGTGAGAACACACTGGCAGCCGGGCAGGAGAACTATTTCTGCAAACTTCCTATCCATCGTACTGTATAAATGATTGATAAATGTCTGTCTTTCTCTTCACAGCAGCATCGATTCTTATGCAGATTCTAAAGCAGGTTGCTGTTCTGCACCACATTTTTTAGTTTTATCACGCAACATACTGACTTACCTTGAATATAAATGTCTCATTGAAGACAGGGTTCAGTGTTTTCTTGTGGACTTTGGTGTCATACTTCTTCTTCTTCTCAGGCAGGATCGTGACTTTTACGTAGGGATCTGAGGTTCCACCTGAGTCCATGGAAATGAGGTCCGCAGCTTGAAGGATGCCAACTGTGAGCTGTGTGCAGAGGAGGTGTGGGCGGGATATAAGGGACAGGAAACAGAATTCTATCAGACAGAAATCCAGAAATTGTACAGTACGATTTTTCATTTCTGTCAGGGTTACTGCTGCAGAGATTGGTTATACAACTCATCCGTCAACTTAAGCCTCGCAATCAATCTCCACTCACTTTTTTGCCAAACTGGAAATGTTTTCGAATGTAAGAGGGCATTCTTCAATGTCAAAGAACTCTCACATTGTTATTTTTTTTTGTACAATAACATTACCTATTTTACTCTCCGACTTGATAAATGTTGAGTTATTCTTCTTAGATTGAGCCTCATTCATTCATGTAATGCATAACCCCTCTGCTGCCCCTCAGAGAGTATTACAGTAATGGTGATAAAAGTTACTGAATCTCTGACAAATGTTTTAGTTTTTTTCCCTCATCATGAATTATTGCTAATCTATTTTTTTTGGGACATATTTAGCTTTTGAAAATGAATTATGATGTTGCTCTGCTGATGTTTCAAGAAGAAGCCGTCAAGACATTTTTAAGGGTTAGACCTTAAAGGAGTAATAATGACTTTGATGTAGTATTATTATCCCAGCCAGTTAGCTTAGCATTAAAACAGGAGAAAACGGCTAGCCCACTCTGAGGGTTAAAGCCCTCAAAATCAAATCAGAAAATTAGCTCCATTAAACGGTACTTATTAGCACATTATATCTTTATATTTAGAGGTCCTGGTACTGTAGATGGATTTACCCTTGGACAGAGCTACGCTAACAGTTTTTCCTTGCTTCCCCTTTTATTCTAAACTAAGTTAACCGGCTGCTACCTGTAGCTTCATATCAACCCTTTCAGACAAGAAAGTGCCATCAATATTTTTTATTTCAGTAAGAAAACTGATTATTGTATTCCAAAAAATATTGAATTACTTCTTTAAACAGCATTACAAAGTGACATCCACAGACCTTTGCATTTTCAAAGTCATATTCTATGGAGTATTGCAGCTTCCCCAGTTTCTCCTCTTCTTTCTCCTCTTCCTCTTTCTCCTCCTCCGTCAGTCCAGTCTCTCCCTCGTCATCATCATCCTCGTCCTGGTGTATCTGTGGTGTGGAAGTAAGAAGATGAAATAGGATGTTAAGGGTCAGGGGATCTGGGGATCTGGAGTCAGACGACAGGGCTCCCCACCACAGCCAGCATGCCACAGACACTGGAGCTCCAGCAGTTTTTACATGGGAGATACATGTTCTGGTTGCTGCTTACCTGCACAGCACCTGATGATAATAACCAAGGACATCTCTACTGGTAACACATATATATACATGTTCATGTTTTGGACACCTTTTCCTCCTGTTTTTTGGGCAATTCCTTTGGCATGCTTGTGCAGTACAGTGACAGCCAGAGGCAATGGAGGCTTTGCATGCTAGTTCCACTAAAAGGGGTCATACAAGTTTTCCAAAAAACAATCAGGTATTGGCATGGTTTTCTTTTTTGTCCAAGCCCTTTTAATTTCACCAAATGAAGGACGTGTTTATGTAAACACCTAAGGAACTACAGTAGCTCACAACAGCACATTTCGGCGAACTAAAATGATTATGATTATTTTTCTTTTTAATATTTACTTGCACTATATTTGTCTGTTTTTCTGTATTATTGTGTTGTACTGTTGGAGAACCCTGTGACCTAAGATTTTCATCGACATAACTACTCTGTAGCTATGTTCGTATGACAAATAAAGAACCTCGAACCTTGATTAAAGGCAAATAGGAAAAGAAATTCAGTAACATTTCAAATAACACACTTGTTTCACAACCTTCATATTTCAAGATAAAATAAGGCTCCCTATTATTACAATAAATGTTTCAGGATTAAAGGGCACAGGCAGCTATTTCAATAACGTATAGTCTTATTGCTGAAGTGTTATTATTGAAAATGTAAGCCTCGCTGCAAAGGTGGCCTTGACTTTGAAAGGACTTTTTCTTTCAGGCCATCCAGTGTCTCCACATCCTACGTTCTCCTTGAGCATTTCAATGGAAAGGACAGTTTTGCGTGTATTGCTCTATTCATGCAGTTTTATCATCACCGTTGTCATGTCTCCCAAACAACCAACCATGCCCTTTATCACATGCATATATTCTTAGTGTTTAAAAAGTGTCTTGCATATCATCTCTTAGTCCAATACTTTCCATATTGGTGTGAGTTACAGTTACATTGTCCCAGGAACAATGTGTTTAACTCTCCTCTCTGGGGTTTATGGAGCACATCATAGCTTTCCATTGTGTCATTCTCAAGCTGTCACAGCACAAATTAAAGAGTTGCAAAGTTGCAGAGTTGCAAAGGAAGCTACGACTTTCATTCCATGAAACCCCCTCGCCAACGTGAGCTATCCACCTACCGTAGAGCGGGAGTCCACCACAGTCAAGAAACACGGGGCACACACAAGACAGACACAAAGCGGGGGGGAAAAAGGAGGAGAGCAGAGAGAGGAAGAGATTCAACTCACAAGACACCACACACTACAAGAAGAGAGGCAGTCAACACCACCACCACAATTATGGTGAAAAATGACACTCTTGTTTTGGGCTGGGGACGATAAATTCACACCCTGGACAGAAGTAATTTATTAATTTAATTAACTGTCACTGGAGCTCAGAGCAATCTATGCTGATGTTAGTTGATTAGTTCTCAAATGAGTGGCTTTTCTAACATGTATTCTCTGATTTACTGTACTTTCCTTCCGAAGTCTCCCAATATTAATGCGGGTGATATGCCTTCATCCATCACATAGAAATGTTGCTTTTTATACTTTGCAACTTGACAGGAGAAACTTTCCAATTCTTAGTGCTCATTATTCTTTGCCAACTTGTAACAAAGTGTGTCATTTTTCACCAAGGGGCCACAATGGAATACGTCACACATTTGAACGACCACAACAACAACATCGAATAAATGGAGGGGAAGAGAGCTCTCCTTGTGTCCTCTACAGTCTGGGCTACAAAAGCTGCTGGTAAAAGATCAAATTTGGTTAGCTATAGAGACAGAGATTATTAGCAATAAATGGTATAAATAGCAATACAAACGTGAATAGTAAATTGATGTATAAAAAAAGAGACAAAATATCACTTCAAACATCCAGTTACTATTTTTCAGCGTGTAAGAAGCACAAGGCGTCATACCTCGCCCTGCATGTTCTTCATGTTGAAGCCATCCTTCCCCTTCTTCCCTTTCTTGTTCTTCTTCTTCTTGCAACAGCATTTTTTGATTATGCAGAAGCAGCAGGTCAGAATAAGCAACGCGGCCACAACAGCGATGGCGATCAGAGCCCAAGGAGGCACTGTCAGTCAAAAACAAAAGGGCAACAATTAAGATTGATGTGTAAATTAGATTGTTCTGTAAAGTTATTTTCAAAAACGTGAATATCAGCAGGAAGTACTACTTCTTGCCGATATTCATGTTTTTATTTAAGTTGTATCATAACTTACATGGGATTTTGTCAATTTCATTCAAGAATTTGTTCTTGATCTCCTCAAACATGTCGTTCTTGCTGATCTCTGTGTTGTTGGAGCCAGGGCCGAGGTCCGGCACCGAAGTGGAGACGTAGCCCTGGGTGGGGGCCGAGGTGGCCCCGGTGGCCGTGGTGGCCCCGGTGGCCCCGGTGACCCCGGTGGGCTCGGGGGCCGCCACGGCCTCTGGCCTTCTGAACAAGTTGAACTTCATCGTCAAAGACTAGACGCAGCGCCCCTGAGGAACACACAGATCAGAGAGAAAGGGAAAGTAAGACATGACAAAGAAATGTCATGACATCAGTGCTCATGATTCTGGGGGGAGACCCTCTGGAAGGACACTTTAAATACGTAAGAGGCCCAATTATGGTTTTGGCGTTTTCCCTTTCCTGTTTTGTGTTATCTAGGTTTTTGTGTATGTAAATGGTCTGGAAAGGTACAAATCCCTAAGTTCTCTCCAGAGGGACACACAAGCACAGGTTTTCTCCAAAACACACACAGTCATTGTATGTTGCTCTCTACCTAAATACAGACTGTCCAATAATCAAATTCAGGCTCATGAAATGCAAAATCGTGCTTAACTTCAACACATTTGAAAGGTAAAGGTGTTTGTGGGCCAATCTTTGAATTGTGTAGACCAGGCAAACTGATCCTCATCCTGTATGATCTTTATGCATAGCTCATTAACTCCTAAGTCCAGTTCTGTTCTTAATGCACAGACGCGAGAGAAATGTTGATCTTCTTATCCAACTCCTGGAAAGAAAACAATTGAGCACATTTCCTAAAATGGTGCTTCAAGTATTAAATTAAACCAAAGAAATTATCAATTAATGATCAATTCAAGCATTTTATGTTCATTATCAATGTATTGATGCTCTTTTCAAAAGAGACTGACGGCAAACACAATCTCATTTGTGTGGGAGATGATGAGCTGCAACAAAGCTCAGCTCTGCAAAAGATATTGGGAAATAGAAACAGAGTCATCACTGTCAACAATGGTCATTATCAGTGAGAGATTAAACAGAAACCAGTTAGAATAATGAGCACAAATCCTCAGCTAATGAATCCATTATGAAATAAAAGACATGGATGTTGAGACTGAATACACACATTACGCCGATGATTTGAAACTTTACTAACAGAGACCTAGACATAGGCCCTATGATTTTCAATAGTTCGATCTTAGCTGAATTGTTAAAGCAATAAAGAAGATACAATACTTCTACAGTATAATTTCTGTTTGTAAAAAATGAAGCTACAGCTAACTGTTTCCAAGACTGGAACCACAGCCTGTGTTTTTACATCCTCTTTCAGTTTACAATACACAACCTAGATATATGACAGCACATAACACATTTAAAATATATATATATTGGTTAATTAGTTAGATCTAGAGGGGCTGATAGGTGCAAACTGTTTCCTTTTCATAGGACTAGGCTAGTTGTGTCCAGTGCTTATGCTAAGCTAAACTGTAGCTTCACATTAACTGTACAGACATGAAATTGGTATCAATCTTATTTCAACCTGTTTTCTGTCAGTTGTTAATGTTCTCCCTACATGTTACAAGGATTCAAAATCATTATGTTGTCTGTTTATGCTTTTGAGTTTAAGTCCTTTGTCCTTTCTTCGACCAAATGCATGCTGGGATAGTCTTTATCACTTTGGTAACATGTATAGGAAAAAGCAAGTGTGGAGTCAGTGATAAACACATAGATTACAAGTAAATTGCTGCCATATGAATGTATTGGATAAAAACAAATAGATATGTGAATGCTTAACATATTTTTACTATAGAGAAATAACGAGCTGACTAAAGGATAAGTTCAATGACAGAACATAACCTGTCAATCTCTCTGTGGGTTTTTATGATGATTGATCTTTGAAGTCATTTTTTTAGAAGAAGTTTTAAACATTTAAACATGTTTCCATTTTCTCAGTCCTGGAGATGTGCTGCTTTTCTCAGTTTTCTTTAGGTTTTTCACATTGACATTCGATGACATCATATTTGGGTTAAGGAAAATTGTGATAGCCAACCTAACATTTCACAGGCCAAACAATTAATTATTGAGTTGCAGATGAATCATTAGTCCTGGAGAGGAATGAACTGAACTGTAATGCTCCAAAAAACGAATGTGGCTGACATTTAAATTGATTTCAGCACAATGAGAGAATAACACGTCTCTCTTTAGAATGGTTCACCTTTTTACTCTCAGGAAGTTCAATCCATCAAAAAAAAAGCTGAGAAAGCCTTAAGTGAGCATTATATTTCGCACTCTTTGTTATCTCTCTGCATACAAAGAGATAACAAAGAGTGAGAACATATTTAATCTGCAGGAGGCATATGACAACTTTGACATTGTAGCAAAAATGTGGTAATTTATTGGATAACACAAAGCCCATTTGTACTTCGACAAAGACATAGGAACAAAAAAAGTGGTTAGAAGTTCTCCAAACATTTGTTTTACTGCAGTATGAGACACGGGAGCTCATGTGTGACAGGCAGGTGTTCAATACTGAACACAGTTATTTGGACACTACCTTTCTGCTGCATGCCCTCCACCAGCTCAACATATTGCAAAAAAATGTGGCCATTTTCACAACCGTTTTCTTGTTTTCCCTCTATGACCTACCTTTCCATGTTTGTTTGTTTTTGCTTCAGGGTGAAAATGTAAAATGGGAAAATTGTTTTGACAGAAAAGGTTGTGGAATGAATGTGTTTTAAAGCAGCAAAGAGAGTGTTATGTGATTCTTTGGTATGTGGTAAATGGTCTTATATTCTTGTATCATAGACAAGAAAATGAAGTGCAAAATGTAATTGAACAACACAGTCAGCATGAATAAAATATAGAATGTGTGTGTGTGTGTGTGTGTGTGTGTGTGTGTGTGTGTGTGTGTTTCATTGGCACTAAATCTTGCAGAACCAGGGTGGGGACCCCAAATGATGGAACAAGTCAAGAGCATAAAAACAGCAAGAATAGGACTTGAGAGACGATATCCCACACACACACACACACACCTGGCTACAGTCCAAGAAGTGTGTGTGTGTGTGTGTGTGTGTGTGTGTGTGTGTGTGTGTGTGTGTGTGTGTGTGTGTGTGTGTGTATTGATTTTGAATCGCTTCGTTCACTCAACAATGGTGAGAGTGGTGCAGTGAAAAAAGAGACAAAGAGGCAGATAAGACGGTGTCTTTTCTACGCCGCTAACCTTCCTTTTAAAAACATTCATTCACACAATAACAGGTAGCGGAGGGAGGGCAACACACACACCTTTTCCTGCTGTTTTTATGTGTGTGTGAGTGTGTCAGCACACTGTGTCGAGGAAGGAAGAAGAGAGCTGGAAAGAATCATTGTGCCATTAATCCAACGGAGGGACGGGGGGCAGAGAGGGGGAAGAAGGAGGAATTCCATTAGATTTTAGTGTGAAGGACTAAATTCTGCAGGAAAACAGAGTGCACTGAGTTTTCTACGGTTCACAGAGTCATCGAACACTGCAGCAGCTTTGTCCTGAAGTAAAGGCTGGAGTTTCCGTTTTAAAATGTGGCAGATTTAAGAGTAAGAGCTCCTAAAACCACCGGACGTAGAAACAGTTTCATCCCACAGGCAATAAGACTATTAAACACCTGACCAACATTCATCCGTCTGCATCTTGCTAATTATTTACCTATATAGCATATTCCGTTTAAATGTATATAGACTCTTCTTGCACTATATCTGTTTTATTTATATATGTTATTTTGTACATCTCAAAACATTCCTTTGACTTATGTTATTTGTTTTATGTCCGATATATAAGTTGCACTGTTGGAGGAGCCTGGGACTTGAGTGTTTCATTGCCACATCTACACTGTAGCTGCTGTGCACAGGACGATAAAGCCTTGAAACTTAAATCCTAGTTCAACAAATCTTTAGCAGTAATAATAATAATAATAGACAATACACCAGGGCTGTACGATATCGTGTTGTGACGATAACCGCGATAACCGCGATATTCACATCGCAGGACGTGACGATTTTAAAAAAAAATCTTAATTTTTCTTTTTTTTTTTCTAGGACTTGCGATATTAAGTAGGCAAATTAACTCAAATACGTCATGTTACAATTATTTTGCTGCTTGCTACAAAAGGAGTACTTGAGTGAGTGACAGCAAACCATCAATCACAATCAACTCTCCAAAGCAAACGGACCCGGTGATTAAAGGTAAAAACACTGAATAAAGTGGTTTCATGTGTTTCTCCAGGGCAGTTCGGCGCTGCTAACCGAGCTAGCTTAGCTTGTTGCTCTGATAACTTAAGATCCAGACGTCCATGACTAAAATCCTTCATCCTGTTAAATATAGTTAAAAAAGACCAATTGTAGCATTAAAGTTCAAGAAAGGATGGTTTGCGGGAAACAAAACGGTATTTTCTTCAATTCCTGTANCAAAAATGCACGTTTCAGTGACCTTTTATTGTGGCCAAACTAAGGCACACCTTTGCAATAATCATGCTGTCTAATCAGCATCTTGATATGCCACACCTGACAGGTGTGGCATATCAAGATGCTGATTAGACAGCATGATTATTGCAAAGGTGTGCCTTAGTTTGGCCACAATAAAAGGTCACTGAAACGTGCATTTTTGCTTTATTGGGGGGTCCAAAAACCAGTCAGTATCTGGTGTTAGGGTAATGTGAATCGAGTGGCCCATGGTGGTGGTGGGGTTATGGTATGGGCAGGCGTATGTTATGGACGACGAACAAAGGCCACTCGATTTACAACATAACCCTAACCCTCACACCAGATACTGACTGGTTTTCGGACCCCCCCAGACCCCCCCAATAAAGCAAAAATGCACGTTTCATCTCATGAAAAATGGGAGCAAAAACAAAAGTGTTGCATTTATATTTTTTTTCAGTGTATATATGTGTACAAGTAGAATAAATGGTCAAGTAAACTACCTAAACATTGTAAGTAGTAAAGTATTTGAGTAAATGTGTTTAGTTACACTCCACCACTGTTAACTGTCTCTTAAGGTTTCCTATTTTGGTTCATCTTTAGTCTCCTTCTCTTGGGGCGAGCGTTCATTCTCCTGGTTTATTGCTCAGCCTTCCTCTCTACCTGTTCTTTCATCATATACAACCTGTGCTCTTCCCCTCGATCGATCCCCTCCTCTCCTTCAGCACATGACCCAGTTCCGCCTTTCTGTCTAGCTCTCAGTAGTTAATTCTGATGCCAAGTATAATGGTGTTCTTATAATTA